AGTCAGAACAGAGGTCAGAGGTCATTCAACCCCATTAAGTGAGTGTTTCTCTTTTCTTTCCCTGTACTTCAGACTCATTATTTAAAGACATCTCAACCATTCTACGGACCAGGTTGTCACGGATTCAGCCGAGGCTGCTCCTCCTCCTTGCTCGGGCAGCCTTCGGCGTTCGTCGTCCCCGGAGTACTAGCTGCTGCCGATCGATGTTTCGGTGTTTGTCTTGTTTGGTCTTTATTGTTTACACCTGTTTCCCATTATGTTGGATTGTATTCCCTATATTAACCCATGTCTCTCATTTGGTTATTTTGTGTGTGATTGTTCGTTTGTCATTCCGGCAGTTTCTTGTATGTACGGGTCTTTGTGTTTTCCTCCCTGTTTTGGAGGTTTGTTGTTTTGTACGTTTATTTTACTGTGTTCAGTAAAGAACGTTGCCAGCCGCTCTGTGTCCTGCATTTGACTTCGCTAACCGCATACACGTCGCTTGACACAGGTTTACATTGGGTTTTTCAGCACATTTCTTATCAGGAGAATTTACATGTGTGCAAGCAAAACTCTGACAATAGATACTTCAGAAAATGTCGTTTGTGTGCCCTTTAAAGTGCTAACCCGTGAAAAACCTGCTAAAAACAAAATAAAAGGACCCCACATAATAAATCAAACACGTTATTAACACCACTAACAAATATTCATAACAGGTGGGTGGGTGCCGGCGTTTGTGGTAAAACGTAGGGCAAAAACAAACAAATGGCCAGGCCTTACTTAATTGGGAGCTCCCTTTACGGCCAGATCTGTGTACCTTTATACTTAATAGAACTACAGAATTGTACTAACTGCTCTCCCAAGGCAACAGCCTCGGGAAACATTTCAAAGGGAGAGATAGGGACACCCCATCCTCTCCTAAAACCTTTTTTGGGTATCTGTACTTTACTTTACTATTTATATTTTTGACAATTTTTACTTTTACTTCATTACATTCCTAAAGAATAGTATGTACTTTTTACTCCATACATTTTCCCTGACACCCAGAAGTCTTCGTTACATTTTGAATACTTAGCAGGACAGGAAAGTTGTCTAATTCACACACTTATCAAGAGAACATCCCTGTTCATCCCTACTGCTTCTGATCTGGCAGACTCACTAAACACATGCTTCATTTGTAAATTATGTCTGAGGGTTGGAGCGTGCCTCTGGCTAGCCGTAAATTAAAAAAACTAGAAAATAATAATATGCCATTTAGCAGACGCTTTTATCCAAAGCGACTTACAGTCATGTGTGCATACATTTTTACGTATGGGTGGTCCTGGGGATCGAACCCACTACCCTGGCTTTACAAGCGCCATGCTCTACCAATTGAGCTACAGCTTCTGATAGGCTGAAAGATATCTGCATTGAGCTAAATGTAACTCAACTGATAACTGAACCAACCCACTCCAACTGTAAACACTTTAAAATATACAAACGCCCCTCATAAGTATACAGTCAATGGAATTTTTGCTAATGAGTTCAGTGATGGTAATAATTATTGTCTAATCTGGGATTGTGTGGATGGGGGATTGTGTCCGATATCTCTGACTTGGATCAGGCCCTAAATCGTTTTACTTCTTTGTTCAACTCTATTGCAGATAAGCATGCACCGTTCAAGAAACTAATGGTAAAGCATAGTGCTAATCCCTGGTTCACGCATGAACTATCAGAGAAATTTCAGGAGAGACATTTTGCTTGGGAGAAGGCTGACTGATTCTATGTCTGACTGGTTAGAAAAGAAAAAACGCCTTCTGGAAGGTAGTCACATCTCTGAAACAAAACTCTACGCCCTCATTACCCTAGCAGGTAATGACTAGAATACAGTATATACAGTTGAAGTCGGAAGTTTACATACACTTAGGTTGGAGTCATTAAATTCATTTTTAAACCATTCCACAAATGTCTTGTTAACAAACTATAGTTTTGGCAAGTCGGTTAGGACATCTACAAGTAATTTTTCCAACAATTGTTTACAGACTGATTATTTCACTTAAAATTCACTGTATCACAATTCCAGTGGGTCAGAAGTTTACATACACTAAGTTGACTGTGCCTTTAAACAGCTTGGAAAATTCCAGAAAATAATGTCATGGCTTTAGAAGCTTCTGATAGGCTAATTGACATAATTTTAGTCAATTGGAGGTGTACCTGTGGATGTATTTCAAGGCCTACCTTCAAACGCAGTGCCTCTTTGCTTGATATCATGGGAAAATCAAAAGAAATCAGCCAAGACCTCAAAAAAGAAATTGTAGACCTCCACAAGTGAAGGTACCACGTTCATCTGTACAAAGAATAGTATGCAAGTATAAACACCATGGGACCACGCAGCCGTCATACCGCTCAGGAAGGAGACGCGTTTTGTCTCCTAGCGATGAATGTACTTTGGTGCGAAAAGTGCAAATCAATCCCAGAACAACAGCAAAGGACCTTGTGAAGATGCTGGAGGAAACAGGTACAAAAGTATCTATATCCACAGTAAAACAAGTCCTATATCAACATAACCTGAAAGGCCGCTCAGCAAGGAAGAATCTACTGCTCCAAAACTGCCATAAAAAAGCCAGACTACGGTTTGCAACTGCACATGGGGACAAAGATCGTACTTTTTGGAGAAATGTCCTCTGGTCTGATGAAACAAAAATAGAACTGTTTGGCCATAATGACCATCGTTATGTTTGGAGGAAAAAGGGGACATCTCAAGACATCAGTCAGGAAGTTAAAGCTTGGTCGCAAATGGGTTTTCCAAATGGACAATGACTCCAAGCATACTTCCAAAGTTCTGGCAAAATGGCTTAAGGACAACAAAGTCAAGGTATTGGAGTGGCCATCACAAGTCTCTGACCTCAATCCTATAGAAAATTTGTGGGCAGAACTGAAAAAGCATGTGTGAGCAAGGAGGCCTACAAACCTGACTCAGTTACACCAGCTCTGTCAGGAGGAATGAGCCAAAATTCACCCAACTTAGTGTGGGAAGCTTGTGGAAGGCTACCCGAAATGTTTGACCCAAGTTAAACAATTTAAAGGCAATGCTACCAAATACTAATTGAGTGTATGTAAACTTCTGACCCACTGGGAATGTGATGAAATAAATAAAAGCTGAAATCAATCATCTCTCTACTATTATTCTGACATTTCACATTCTTAAAATAAAGTGGTGATCCTAACTGACCTAAGACAGGGAATTCTTACTAGGATTAAATGTCAGGAATTGTGAAAAACTGAGTTTAAATGTATTTGGCTAAGGTGTATGTAAACTTCCGACTTCAACTGTATATCTGACCAAATTATGAAAGACAAACATTGTAATTTTGAATTCCGTAAAGTAAGTGTGGAAGAGGTGAAAATATTCCCCTACCTAAGAATAGTAAAGCCCCCTTAACTGGCTCAAATAGCCGACCAATCAGCCTGTTACCAACCCTTAGTAAACTTTTGTGTTTGACCAGATAAAATGCTATTTTACTGTAAACAAATTGACAACAGACTTTCAGCACGCTTATAGGTAAGGACATTCAACAAGCACAGCACTGACACAAATGACTGATGATTGGCTGAGAGAAATTGATGATAAAAAGATGGTGGGTGCTGTCTTGTTAGACTTCAGTGCAGCTTTTGACATTATCGATCATAGCCTGTTGCTGGAAAAACGTATGTTATGGCTTTACACCCCCTGCTATATTGTGGATAAAGAGTGACCTGTCTAACAGAACACACAGGGTGTTATTTAATGGAAGCCTCTCCAACAAAGTCCAGGTAGAATCAGGAATTCCCCAGGGCAGCTGTCTAGGCCCCTTACTTTTTTCAATCTTTACTAACGACATGCCACTGGCTTTGAGTAAAGCCAGTGTGTCTATGTATGCGGATGACTCAACACTATACACGTCCGCTACAACAGCGACTGAAATGACTGCAACACTTAACAAAGAGCTGCAGTTAGTTTCAGAATGGGTGGCAAGGAATAAGGTAGTCCTAAATATTTCAAAAACTAAAAGCATTGTATTTGGGACAAATAATTTACTAAACCCTAAACCTCAACTAAATCTTGTAATGAATAATGTGGAAATGTAGCAAGTTGAGGAGACTAAATTGCTTGGAGTAACCCTGGATTGTAAACTGTCATGGTCAAAACATGTTGATACAACAGTAGCTAAAATGGGGAGAAGTCTGTTTATAATAAAGCGCTGCTCTGCATTCTTAACAGCACTATCAACAAGGCAGGTCCTACAGGCCCTAGTTTTGTCGCACCTGGACTACTGTTCAGTCGTGTGGTCAGGTGCCACAAAGAGGGACTTAGGAAAATTGCAATTGGCTCAGAAGAGGGCAGCACGGCTGGCCCTTGGATGTACACAGAGAGCTAACATTAATAATATGCATGTCAATCTCTCCTGGCTCAAAGTGGAGGAGAGATTGACTTCATCACTACTTGTATTTATGAGAGGTATTGACATGTTGAATGCACCGAGCTGTCTGTTTGAACTACTCGGTCACCCATGCATACCCCACAAGACATGCCACCAGAGTTCCCCAAGTCAAGAACAGACTATGGGAGGCGCACAGTACTACATAGAGCCATGACTATATGGAACTCTATTCCACATCAAGTAACTCATGCCAGCAGTAAAATTAGATTTATAAAACAGATAGAAATACACTTTATGGAACAGCGGGGACTGTGAAGCAACACAAACATAGACACATGCATACAAACACACGATAACATATACACTATACACACATGTACACATGGATTTTGTGTTATAGATATGTCGTAGTAGAGTAGAGGTCTGAGGGCACACACTTAATATGTTGTGAAATCTGATATGAATATATTGTAATGTTTTTTAAATGTATAACTGCCTTAATTTAGCTGGACTCCAGGAAGAGTAGCTGCTGCCTTGGCAATGGGGATCCATAATAAATACAAATACAAACAGACATTTATCCCTCAGAAGGGTCTTTCTACGGAAGCCTTCACCCTGTGCATGTGGCTGGCCACCGAGCTGGCAACAGGCAGCCGTGAGATCATCCTGTTCGCCTACCGCACAGAGTGCTACGACAAGTTCAACGTGTGGAGAAAGGCTGACGGCACCTACTGCCTGTACATGAGTGGGGACGGGGTTTTCTTCCACCTGCCTGAGCTCAGCACATTCCAGACCCACCTGTGTCTCACCTGGGAGTCTATGTCAGGCATGGCCATGTTCTACGTAGATGGGAAGAGGAGCATTAGGAAGGTGTATAAACCGGACACAAATTGCAGGCTGTCGGTAGAGTCATCCTGGGACAGAACCCAGACTCCTGAAGGAGTTTGACACCAAGCAGAGTTTTGTCTGAGGGATCAAAGACGTCAACATGTGGGACTACGTGCACTCCAATGCCATGATGGAGGCTTTGTATGCTGGGAAACGTGTGCCCAAAGGGAACATTTTTGACTGGGAAACCATAGAGCTCAAGGTCAACGGGAACATCAAGGTGATCACTAAAGACAGTGGCGGTCGGTGCTGTTTAAGATGAAGGAGGACAATTATTATTTTTATGAGCATGGCACTATTGTTATTACAGCATATTGGATGACTGTCACTCATATACCATTCACCCAGCTCAATGTAACATGGATAGGTTTAGGCTACTTACGACATAATTCTCAAATTTTCCCTATACCCATCATGAGGTTGCTACAACCTAGCCTATGAATGAAAGATTACAACGTGGGTGCACACAGGTCGAGATAAATTTGAGTAATCAAGGTGACAGACATTGACACATTCAATATCACCTTGCACAACATTCCTTGCATCTAGCTGATTTAGGGTGTAATCATTAGTCGAACAGTTGCAAACAAGAGTTTCTATTGGACAAATTCAGGTATGTTTATCCCCGTTTTGTTTGCTTCCGTTTAAGAAACGTTTTTCAACAGAATCGGCGGAATGACACCCCTGATCACACGCAAACACAGTTCACTTTCATAGCAGCCGGGGGTGCCTCGTAAGGATCTGACGGCGAGAGAGTAAACTGCCTCTTCCATCAATCCTATTAGCCAATCTTCAATCATTGGAAAATAAATTAAATGACCTATGATTACGCTTATCCTACCAACGGGACATGAAAAACGGTAATATCTTATGTTTCACCGAGTCGTGGCTGAACGACGACATGGACAACATACAGCTAGCGGGCTATACGCTACATCAGCAGGAAAGAACGGCTGACTCCAGTAAGACAAGGGGTGGCGGTCTGTGTATATTTGTAAACAACAGCTGGTGCACAAAATCAAATACTAAGGAAGTCTCGAGGTTTTAGCCTCCTGTAGCTCAGTTGGTAGAGCATGGCGCTTGCAACACCAGGATTGTGGGTTCGATTCCCACAGGGGGCCAGTATGAAAAATGTATGCACTCACTAACTGTAAGTCGCTCTGGATAAGAGTGTCTGCTAAATGACTAAAATGTAAAAATGTTTTAAAAAATTGCTCGCCTGAGGTAGAGTATCTTATGATAAGCTGTAGACCACACTATTTACCAAGAGAGTTTTCATCTATATTTTTCATAGCTGTCTATTTACCACCACAAACCAATGCCGGCATTAAGATTGCACTCAATGAGCTGTATAAGGCCATAACTAAACAGGAAAACGCTCATCCAGAGGCAGTGCTCCTAGTGGCCGGGGACTTTCATGCAGGGCAACTTAAATCCGTTCTACCTAATTGCTACCAGCAGGTTAAATGTGCAACCAGAGGAGAAAAAAAACTCTAGACCACCTTTACTCCACACACAGAGACGCATACAAAGCTCTCCCTCGCCCTCCATTTGGCAAATCTGACCATAACTCTATCCTCCTGATTCCTGCTTATAAGCAAAAACTGAAGCAGGAAGTACCAGTGACTCGGTTAATAAAAAAGTGGTCAGATGACGCTATTGCTAAGCTACAGGACTGTTTTGATAGCACAGATTGGAACATGTTCCGGGATTCTTCAGATAGCATTGAGGAGTACACCACATCAGTCACTGGCTTCATCAATAAGTGCATCGATGACGTCGTCCCCACAGTGACCGTACGTACATACCCCAACCAGAAGCCATGGATTACAGGCAACATCCGCACTGAGCTAAAGGGTAGAGCTGCCGCTTTCAAGGAGCGGGACTCTAACCCGGACGCTTATAAGAAATCCCGCTATGCCCTCCGACGAACCATCAAACAGGCAAAGAGTCAATACAGGACTAAGATTGAATCGTACTACACCGGCTCTGACGCTTGTCAGATGTGGCAGGGCTTGAAAACTATTACAGACTACAAAGGGAAGCACAGCCGCGAGCTGCCAAGTGACACAAGCCTACCAGACAAGCTAAACCACTTCTATGCTCGCTTCGAGGCAAGCAACACTGAAGCATGCATGAGAGCACCAGCTGTTACGAATGACTATGTGATCACGCTCTCCACAGCCGATGTGAGAAGACATTTAAGCAGGTCAACATTCACAAGGCCGCAGGGCCAGATGGATTACCAGGACGTGTACTCCGAGCATGTGCTGACCAACTGGCAAGTGTCTTCACCGACATTTTCAACATGTCCCTGACTGAGTCCGTAATACCAACATGTTTCAAGCAGACCACCATAGTCCCCGTGCCCAAGGACACTAAGATAACCTGCCTAAATGACAATGACCCGTAGCACTGATGTCTGTAGCCATGAAGTGCTTTGAAAGGCTGGTCATGGCTCACATCAACACCATTATCCCAGAAACCCTAGACCAACTCCAATTTGCATACCGCCCCAACAGATCCACAGATGATCTCTATTGCACTCCACACTGCCCTTTCCCACCTGGACAAGAGCAACACCTACGTTAGAATGCTATTCATTGACTACAGCTCAGCGTTCAACACCATAGTGCCCTCAAAGCTCATCACTAAGCTAAGAACTCTGGGACTGAACACCTCCCTCTGCAACTGGATCCTGGACTTCCTGACGGGCCGCCCACAGGTGGTAAGGGTAGGTAACAACACATCTGCCACGCTGATCCTCAACACGGGGCCCCTCAGCGGTGCGTGCTCAGTCCCCTCCTGTACTCCCTGTTCACCCATGACTACATGGCCAGGCACGACTCCAACACCATCATTAAGTTTGCCGACGACACAACAGTGGTAGGCCTGATCACTGACAACTATGAGACAGCCTATAGGGAGGAGGTCAGAGACCTGGCCGTGTGGTGCCAGGATAACAACCTCTCCCTCAACGTGATCAAGACAAAGGAGATAATTGTGGACTACAGGAAAAAAAAGAGGACTGAGCACGCCTCCATTCTCATCGACGGGGCTGTAGTGGAACAGGTTGAGAGCTTCAAGTTCCTTGGTGTCCACATCACCAACAAACTATCATGGTCCAAACACACCAAGACAGTTGTGAAGAGGGCACGACAAAGTCTATTCCCCCTCAGAAGACTGAAAAAATGTGGCATGGGTCCTCAGATCCTCAAAAAGTTCTACAGCTGCACCATCGAGAGCATCCTGACTGGTTTCATCACTGCCTGCTATGTCAACTGCTCGGCCTCCGACCGCAAGGCACTACAGAGGGTAGTGTGTACTGCCCAGTTCATCACTGGGGCCAAGCTTCCTGCCATCCAGGATCTCTACACCAGGCGGTGTCAGGGTAAGGCCCTAAAAATGGTCATAGACTGTTCTCTCTGCTACCGCACGGCAAGCGGTACCGGTGCGCCAAGTCTAGGTCCAAAAGGGTTCTTAGTAGCTTCTACCCCCAAGCCATAAGACTCACGAACAGCTAATCATGGCTACCCGGACGATTTTTTACTTATCTATTTTTTACTTAACACTTATTTTTATTAAAACTGCATTGTTGGTTAAGGCCTTGTAAGTAAGCATTTCACTGGTCTACACCTGTTGTATTCGCCGCATGTGACAAATACATGTTTATTTTATTTGATATTATAACTGTGGACTGATCTCTACACTGTTCAGATTTGATTGATTGGTTCATTAATTGATTGATTGGTTGATTAGACCATTAGAAAAATGCTAGGTCTACACATCAGCCATATAATTGACTGTCTGAATAAGGACCCATTAGGTATGGTGTTCAGTTACTACTACAGGCTGTTACATGTTGCAATGTAATACTGTAAATGTTGCCTAATTATCTCACCACACTCAACAGGAGGATGGTAGCAGAGATCAACTGCCCCCTTGCATTGAGGATTTCAAGTTTAAAGCCGACCCTGGTATTGCAGGCATTGTTTCCAGGAAATAGGATCCCCCATTGTACTGAATGGGGAAATGGCCATTTTCGTGGTCAATATTCGTGGATATGTAAAAAAACTAAAAACACAATCATAGTACTAATAATTGCTTATATTTCACCAGAGGTACAGTTTGTCCTTGGATCGATTACTTTAAAATCACACACAGACAAAGTTAAAAGGATAATTTAGTTGCTAATGGCAGCCTGCAGTATCTCGGTCGGCCTTCAACTTGATATACTCAATAAGAGGTGGCAGCACTGAGCTAGCCTGCAACGTCACTTCCTAAAGTAGCTCAAAATGTGTATGCGATGTTTCAAAAAAACTCCTCCATGTAGCAGGATGGTGACACGCTGAAATGACACTTGCTGATCTTCAAACGTGCCACTGAGTTTCTCATAGTAATCAATGGGGTGACGTCATCGATGGCTTCTTCCATATTTTTCTTTCAGACTATGGTAGCAGGACATCCCCTGCCACAACCAGGCAGGCATGAATAGTCCAAACACAGCCTGCAGCGGACCATACCACTATGACTACAAAATTAGGGATGTCATCTAATTTCTTTGATGATTAAATTATATAGAAACAACGCCTACCCTTCTTGGCAACAAATTATATTATATTTTTATCCTTACGCGAACGAAATGGACATGAAATGACACGCAGGATATTTTGGACACCCCTACATCGACATAATGGGACATGACCAGTGGACTGATCATGTGACATTTCCAGTGTCGCCATTTTCTGCAGCTACACCGGTGTTCCTGTGAAGAGGTGGCTTCTTCTTGTCGTTCCTGTGTTGCATGAAAGGGCCTTGCAATTGACAGTGCTGAGAATCGACAGAAACGTTGACGTTTGGTTTATAAGAAAGGAAATACACGGTTGTGCGTTTTCACTGTCAGTAGGTTTTCCCTGAGCGCGTGGAAGAATGTCGTCAGAAAGCCCCGAGTACTCCCCGTTCTTCGCAGTGATGGGAGCCTCTGCGGCTATGGTCTTCAGCGGTAAAGTTAACTATCACAACCCTCGTTTAATCATATGTCTCATATGCCTCGTTCGATCATAAGCTGTGTGTGTGTGTGTGTGTGTGTGTGTGTGTGTGTGTGTGTGTGTGTGTGTGTGTGTGTGTGTGTGTGTGTGTGTGTGTGTGTGTGTGTGTGTGTGTGTGTGTGTGTGTGTGTGTGTGTGTGTGTGTCGTGTTACTCTCGGCCGAAAAGGAATTTTGTGTCGAATATGGAGCGGGCAAGAAAAAAAAAAGCTAGGAGGATGCGGTTGATTGTTATATAACTGTCCATCACACCTGTCATGTGAGGGGGTAGGGATTCGGCCTGGAGATTTCCATCATAGCAGATGACGTTGCCATTAACGAAACAAGCTGGCCAATTTCTATTGATACAGTTTGATGTACACAACAGGTCAAACGTTTTAGAACACCTACTCATTCAAGGGTTTTTCTTTATTTTTACTATTTTCTACATTGTAGAATAATAGTGAACACATCAACTATGAAATAACACATGGAATCATGTAGTAACCAAAAAAGTGTTAAACAAATCAAAATATATTTTATATTTGAGATTCTTCAAATAGCCACCCTTTGCCTTGATGACAGATTTGCACACTCTTGGCATTCTCTCAACCAGCTTCACCTTGAATCATTTTCCAACAGTCTTGAATGAGTTCCCACATATGCTGAGCACTTGTTGGCTGCTTTTCCTTAACTCTGCGGTCCGACTCATCCCAAACCATCTGAATTTGGTTGAGGTCGGGGTATTGCGGAGGCCAGGTCATCTGATGTAGCACTCCATCACGCTACTTCTTGGTAAAATAGCCCTTACACCGCCTGGAGGTGTGTTGGGTCATAGTCCTGTTGAGGAACAAATGGTAGTCTGCTCAACTTGCTCAATTTCCACATTATTCATTACGAGACGTAGTTGAGGTTTAGGGTTTAGTGAATGATTTGACCCAAATACAATGCTTTTAGTTTTGGAAATATTCAGGACTAACTTATTCCTTGCCACCCATTCCGAAACTAACTGCAACTCTTTGTTAAGTGTTGCAGTTATTTCATTTGCTGTAGTCGCTGATGTGTATAGTGTTGAGTCATCCACATACATACACACACTGGCTTTACTCAAAGCCAATTGCATGTCGTTAGGAAAGATGGAAAAAAGCAGGGGGCCTAGACAGCTGCCCTGGGCAATTCCTGATTCTACCTGGATTATGTTTGAGAGGCTTGCATTAAAGAACACCCTCTGTGTTCTGTTAGACAAGTAACTTTTTAACGACATTATAGCAGGGGGTGTAAAGCCTTAACACAAGTTTTTCCAGCAGCAGACTATGATCGATAATGTCAAAAGCCACACTGAAGTCTAACAAAACAGCCCCCACAATCTTTTTATCATCAATTTCTCTCAACCAATCATCAGTCATTTGTGTAAGTGCTGTGCTCGTTAAATGTCCTTCTCTATAAGCATGCTGAAAGTTTACAGTAAAATAGAGTTGTATCTGGTCAAACACCATTTTTTTCTCCAATAGTTTACTAAGGGTTAGTAACAGGCTAATTGGTCGGCTATTTGAGCCAGTAATGGGGGCTTTACTATTCTTAGGTTGCGGAATGACTTTTGCTTCCCTCCAAGCCTGGGGGCACACACATTCTAGTAGGCTTAAATTGACAAATATGGCAAATAGGAATGGCAATATCGTCCGTTATTATCCTCATTGTTAATAGACAATACTTTTTTCACCTCTTCCACAGTCACTTTACGGAGTTCAAAATTACAATGCGTGTCTTTCATAATTTGGTCAGATATACTTCAATGTGTAGTGTCAGCAATTGTTGCTGGCATGTCATGCTTAAGTTTGCTAATCTTGCCAATGAAAAATTATTAAAGTAGTTGGCAATATCTGTTGGTTTTGTGATGAAGGAGCCATCTGATTCAATGAATGATGGAGCTGAGTTTGCCTTTTTCCCTTGTTTCATAGGGTTGTTTCTTCATCTTTTTATTCAGTTTAGTCACATGATTTCCCAATTCGCAATACGTTTGCCAATCGGTTGTGCAGCCAGACTTATTTGCCATTCCTTTTGCCTCATCCCTCTCAACCATACAATTTTTCAATTTCTCATCAATCCACTGTGATTGTAAAAACTGTTGTCATTTTATTAATGGGTGCATGCTTAATAGTAACTGGAATAAGCAATTTCATGAATGTGTCAAGTGCAGTGTCTGTTTGCTCCTCATTATACACTACGGACCAACATATATTCTTTACATCAACAACATAGGAATCACTACAAAACTTATTGTATGACCTCTTATACACAATATTAGGCCCAGCCTTTGGAACTTTGGTTTTCCTAGATATGGCTACTATATTATTATCACTACAGCCAATGGATTTGGATACTGCTTTCAAACAAATCTCTGCAGCATTAGTAAAGATATGATCAATACATGTTGATGATTTCATTCTAGTACTGTTTGTAACCACCCTGATAGGTTGACTAATAACCTGAACCAGGTTGCAGGCACTGGTTACAGTTTGAAGCTTTCTCTTGAGTGGGCAGCCTGGTGAAAGCCAGTCAATATTTAAATCACCCAGAAGGTATACCTCTCTATTGATATCGCATACATTATCAAGCATTTCACACATGTTATCCAGATACTGGCTGTTAGCACTTGGTGATCTATAGCAGCTTCCCACCAGAATGGGCTTTAGGTGAGACAGATGAACCTGTAGCCATATTACTTCAACAGTATTTAACATGAGGTCCTCTCTAATCTTCACAGGAATGTGGTTCTGAATATAAACAGCAACACCTCCACCATTGGCATTCCTATATTTTCTGTAAATGTTATAACCTTGTATTGCTACCACTGTATCATCAAAGGTATTATCTAAGTGCGTTTCAGAGATTGTCAGAATATGAATGTCATCTGTTACTAGCATATTATTGATTTCATGAACCTTGTTTCTTAAGCTACATATGTTATCCTGGGCTATTTTGAGCACTTTTCTTCTGGGATGCTTACTTGTTTTTATTGCTTTACTGGGAAGCTTAGCAGCAGTAGATGTGCTCATGTTCTTTATGTTAGTGTAGGGTGAGCTGGCCACGGTGGACTGCCTCCTCGGGCACACCGGCTCAGTGCTAACAGTATACATCTGGTTCCTAGGCACATGATCACTGCAGGATCAGCAGAGGCAACCAGGACAGCTAGAGGACACAAACCAGGTTACCCACATTGTGTCTACCAACGCCCCTGATGTAATGTACACTTTCTTAAGCATTTTGACAACTCTGCGTCACAATGGTAGGGATTAGCTGAGCTGAGCTTGGGTCATTGCTAAGTCATTGTCTCAACGCAGCCTTATAATGATGTGAAAGGATCCAGGAACCCAAATTATTTGGGTGGATCCCATCCTCCTTATAAAATGTGTTTTCTTTCCTAAAAGTATCGATACACTCATTGAGCTGCAATAATCACGTAGCCAGTTGTGAAGAGCAAGAATCCTGCTGAAGCGTTCAATTCCACGATTCAGAGAGGGCACAGGGCCAGATATGATGTTTTTTTTGTTAGTGTCTAGCAGAGAGTCAATCGGCTCTTTTTAAAATCCAGTTTCAACTGTTCAGAGCTGCCCTTCATAATGTCATTATATCGATAGAATCGATTTCCATGTCCTGACATAGAACATTCGGGGGCAGCTTAGTAATGTCATTTACTCGAGCTCCGGGATAGGACATTGTTTTTGCACCAGGAACGGTCACATTTCTTACCATGGATCTGTCCAAAATCACGGCTGGCGAGAAGGATGAGGAAATCCGCCTACTCCCACGCTTCACAGGATGCAGGCCTCCGACAGAGAATCCCCACTCGATCCAGAGCAGGGACGGAAGGTTGCCGACGTCGACTTCGAAATCGTAGTAGTAGGCACTGCAGCCGCAAACACAGGCACCCCCAGCGACGATGTTGCAGGAAGATCAGGCTCCAGGAGGGCGACACTATTCGTTGTTTGTATCCGCTCCGGGCCTCTCGTGGGGAGTGTAGACTGCTTTGCGGGAGGTTGCTGTCTTCGGTTTCCACGGCTCGTGACATGCGACCATCATTGATTGCCTTTCTCCTCATGCTGTGCTCCTTCGACGGCGCTATCAGATGGGGGAGCTCCGGGCAACACTGGCCGGTCAGATAACGACAAACGACAAGGCGGAGATGCTTGAACGCCGTCCAGCCACCGGCGTAGAAAATGTAAACATTCCACTCTGTCTTCCCCAGTTTCTTACGTAGGCTGGCGACCTGTGTGATCAAGGAAGCCACCTCAAGCCTATAATCCTCGGCAAGTAAGCAATTGCCGCATTGGAACTCCGAGTGATCCGGTTTGTCCCAAAAAAAAAGCGTAATACAGCTCCTACAGCGCTGGAACCGTTAATTTAGTTCTCCAGACAGAGGGCTCCATTGCAAAACTCATCTGGTACCAACTTCGTTAGCTTGATGGCTAGCAGCTTAGAGTCTCTGTCAAGCAGGCTTCAACCTGTCTCTTAAGCGCGATTCCGGGACAAGAAATAGCTGTTAAACGCTAACCGCGTCGTGGAATTCAGGCAAAAATATGTTCTGTATTCGTATTTTGTCATCAATGCAAAGGGTGGCTATTTGAAGAATATAAAATATATTTAACGCTTGTTTGCAACTGTTGGACTAATGATTACACCCTATATCAGCTAGATCCAGGCAAGAGTGTGCAAGGCGTGTGAGTGTCACTGTCTGTCACCTCAAATGTTTATCTCGACCTCTGTGCACCTATGTTGTAATCTTTCATCCATAGGTTAGGTTTTAGCAACCTCATGTTGGGTATAGGGAAAATTTGGGGGCAATAGCATATACATCAGTATCATCGGCATACAAGTGCAGGTTACAATGTTACAGGTTACAAGTCGATATTGTTAATGTAAACTGTAAAAAATACAGGACCCAGAATCGACCCCTGCGGGAACACTTTCGTAATATCCAGGAAACCTGAATTAACACCATCAGTAGAGTTGAGTTCTACAGTGAGGGGAAAAAAGTATTTGATCCCCTGCTGATTTTGTATGTTTGCTCACTGACAAAGACATGATCAGTCTATAATTTTAATGGTAGGTTTATTTGAACAGTGAGAGACAGAATAACAACAAAAAAATCCAGAAAAACGCATGTCAAAAATGTTATAAATTGATTTGCATTTTAATGAGGGAAATAAGTATTTGACCCCCTCTCAATCAGAAAGATTTCTGGCTCCCAGGTGTCTTTTATACAGGTAACGAGCTGAGATTAGGAGCACACTCTTAAAGGGAAGATGAGGAATTTGTACGCTTCAGTTCATTTACTGTTTTCCAAAATTTAGAAGGATCTCCAGCGGAGTCAGAGATGGAGCTTAAAAAGTAGCTTGATTTAGCTAGCTTAATCGAGAGTACATTTGTTTCTCAATAATCTGAAAGATTGCCAGTCCACTACAGAGTCGGTTTTCCTTGCTTTGGCCCAGGCCTGATTTCTCATCTGAATGAGCTCAGAAAGATCTAACCATTTGGTTTTCTTAGGAGCTGTCTTTGAATTGTTCAAAAGGGACATATTTATCTGCCAGAGGAATAATGTTCTAGAGCCAACTCGGGGTAAGGAATACAGGAGATAGTGGCTAAATCAGAGTAGAACGTGTCATGTAAAAATCCCTGAGGAGACTTTTTAAAATCTATCTTAATTAAATTAGGATTAGTATTTTGCTGTTTCGTATCTCTAGTACATACTATAGGACAATGATCACTGAGATCATATGCAAATACTAGACAAATAATTATGGGGGTTATTAGTAAGAATTAAATCAATCAAAAGAGGAGTTAACAGGGTTTTTCACATTTAGCTGTGTGGGTTTTGAGAGCAATTGTCAGATTTAAAATAAATGCATATACTTTTAAATTGATCTGAGGCCGGGGACAGCCAATCCAGACTGGTGTGGCTCCTGTTGCAGGGTTGTGGCTGCCATAGGGGGCAGGAGTGCAAAGGCGAATTGAGTTATTGCACATGTTCATTTCAGTGTAGGCGTTCCGTAACAAATATGCAAATACATGCTAGAACGTGCCAATAGGATCTCGCTAGCTCGTGCTTCACTCTGCCCACCACCTTGCTTGTTCTACCCACTATGATTAATTTGCTCCCATTGGAAACGACAGGCTGTGGTCTTGAGTTAGTTAAAAAATCTTTAGCTCAACGAAGGCTCTGCGGCTGAGCTATCCACATTCGGATGTCTTCGGAACCGCTGGCGGTTTCGCAGAGAGAATCATCTTTATCTTCACCGCGCGCACACAGTTCAGGCGAGGTACCCAGGCCAGTATGCATGGGTGGAAAGTCCCTGGCCGTCATTAAGCTTGTGAGTCATATGACTGCGGGTGAAAGATGTGTTTAGGAGAAAGAACTTGAAAGACCAGTGACTTCTTGTAGGCTTGGGCGGTATACTGGGGTATTTGGAAATAGCCATGGGATGGTTTTTCAATATCGTCAGTACCATTTGAAACTATTTAGAAATGTGAATATTTGTAGCTACTTTTTAAGTAAATACCTGCAGTCAACTTCTGCAATACGTTAGGAGATTAAAGAACATTGCGTTCTTCATTTCATCTGTCACATAATTTTTCATGATGTAGTCTCCAGTCACGGGGTGGTTGTTTACAAGCACACAACGATGAGAGACCGGAGCCTTGTGAGTCACTCACTGTTGTGCAGCACGCGGCAGGTGATCTAGTTACAGGATGGAATTCACAACTAAATGTTTGCCAGATAGACAGTTAACTTAATAGTTATAAGATATCTCAAATGTGTTAAATGCTCTGCAGTTGTGCATTTAGTTTGCAAATTTAGTAGCTAGTTAGCTGTCTAGCTAAATGGTTAGCTTCTTCCAAAATCAAGCTTCGCTTGGTAACAGCAGAGAATCCCCTCCTGGATCAAGAGCCTTGCTGTCAAATATTTGTTTTATTGGTGCACCAAAATGTGAGTAGCATTTCTGAGTTACTTGAAAAACGTTGAGCTGGAATGTCTGTCTTGCAAATAGTTTAGGTCAGAGACTGTATAAAATGTCTGCAGTGCGCTCCTTAGCATTTAGTTAGCATTCTCTGTGATTTTACATGTACTTGTTAGCATTGCTAACCTTCTGATTAGAGTCTCAGTGGGGTTTGAAAATGGCGCCCCTTGTGTTCAGTGATTATATTACCAAATATCTCGGTATGGCACAAGGTCGGTATGACAATCTGGATACCGCCCATGTCCAACCTCTTGTGTGCGTGCCCCACACTGATATTTGTGGAGGAGGTGTGAGAATAGGCTACATGGCTAATTAGAGTAGTTTGGACAATAGGCTGGTTAAACCAGACTGACTGACTGGCCTCGCTCTCTGGCATTCTTTCACTTCAGTTTGGCTAGGCTAGCTCTGTGCTGAACCCCTATGTCCCCATGTATCTCTCATTCAGGGACTAAAATTAACACCTGCCAAATGCGGGTAGATTTTGGCATTGGCGGGTCACATTCCCCAGCCATGTTGGCAGGTGGTCAGGCTCCACATTTACATTTCACTCGCATTTGTGAATAAAAATAGTCAAGTATGATCACATTTATAGACAAATTAATTCTGCAGTAGCTATTTTCAAAGTATTTCTACCATTTTGTTTCATAGCTGGTAAATGATTTGCACAGTCAAAGAACTACAAATCCTATAGCCTATCCCACCTCGCGCTTCAACACTGCATGTGAAGAGCTGAGTTGAAAGATTCATTTTTAGAAGCGTTGCACAAAGGTTGGTCTAATTTACTTGAAACGAAACTCTACTGAAGTGAGACTTTGTCCTTGTCTCTTGGCTATTTACACTGAACAAAAATATAAACGCAACATGCAATGTGTTGGTCCCATGTTTCATGAGCTGAAATAAAAGATCCCAGAAATGTTCCATATGCACAAAAAGCTAATTTATCTCAAATTTGTTAGTGTGCAGAAGCCTTCGACACCCGAGGAAGAGAAGCATAGAGCTGGGTTCACTAGTAGATGTGACATATTTAAGAATTTCATATTTTTTGATAGTATGATAGAAAGCTTACGCCTGTCGTATTGCTGTTTAGATATGATGACATGTAAAGGATGTATGCAGGTGCATTTCTCCTTTTGCCAAGATAATCCATCCACCTGACAAATGTGGCATATCAAGAAGCTGATTAAATAGCATGATCATTACACAGGTGCATCTTGTGCTGGGGACAATAAAAGGCCACTCTAAAATGTGCAGTGTTGTCACACAACACAATGCCACAGGTTTTGCGGGACCGTGCAATTGGCTTACTGACTGCAGCAATGTCCAACAGAGCTGTTGCTAGAGAATTGAATGTTAATTTTTCTACCATAAGCTGCCTCCGATGTCGTTTTTTCCCCCCCAATTTCGTGATATCCAATTGCGATCCAATTACGATCTTGTCTCTTCGCTTCAACTCCCCAACGGGCTCGGGAGAGGCAAAGGACGAGTCATACGTCCTCTGAAACATGACCCGCCAAACCACGCTCCTTAACACCCACCAGTTTAACCCGGAAGCAAGCCGCACCAATGTGATCGGAGGAAACACCATTCAACTGACAACCAAAGTCAGCCTGCAGGCGACCGGCATGCCACAAGGAGTCGCTAGAGCGTGATGAGCCAAGTAAAGCCCCCCCCGGCCAAACCCTCCCCTAACCCGGACGACGCTGGGCCAATTGTGCGCCACCCTATGGGACTCCCGGTCACGGCCGGTTGTGACACAGCCTGGGAACGAACCCGGGTCTGTAGTGATGCAGTGCCTTAGACCGCTGTGCCACTCTGGAGGCCACTGAGGAGTATTTCTTTCTGTAATCTAAAGCACTTTTGTGGGGAAAAACTCATTCTGACTGGCTGGGCTCCCCAGTGGGTGGTCCTGGCTCCCAAGTGGATGGGCCTATGCCCTCCGAGGCCCACCCATGGCAGCGCCCCTGCCCGGTCATGTGAAATCCATAAATTAGGGCCTAATGAATTTATTTCAATCTACTGATTTCCTTCTATGAACTGTAACTCAGTAAAATCTTTGAAATTGTTGCGTTTTTTATTACATTTACATTTACGTCATTTAGCAGACGCTCTTATCCAGAGCGACTTACATTATTGTTCAGTATACCTCTTGCCCATGCCTCCATCAAGCCAATGCTTTTTTAGATTTGTGGAAAGTAATGAACAAGTGTACACTTCAGGAGAAAGGAGATATTATTGGGGGACACACCTTGTTTTCTCTGGCTACATCTGGAGTCTTTCTCTCCGTGGCTCTTTTTAAAATAATATTTCCTTAAATCCTCGCATCCTCTTTCCTCGCTGAAAGAACTGACCAGGTGAAAGCCATCCTAATGATGAGCTGAGTTGTCACCATATTGTTTATACCTGTCAAGTCTTTGCCAATCAGTACAGTTGAAGGGGAGAAGAGGACTGATTTTTAAGCAATTAAGGCAGCCATATAGGCTCAAGAATTTAGGAACCTTGGCAATCACAGATAGGTGCGAGCCTCAGAGTTCGGGATGTTGGCAATGAAGAACTTGATCTACTTCCCCAGAGTCAGATGAACTCGTGGATACCATTTTTATGTCTGCTTTCAGTTTGAAAGGTGTGTTAACTAGCGTTAGCACAATTGGTAACTAGTGCAATGACTGGATGTCTATGGGAACAGTCATTCCAGTCATTGCGCTAATGCTAGTTAGCATTGGCTCGCGACTGTATCTATAACTTCCTTCATACTGGACGCAGAGACATACAAATGGTATCCAAACTATCCCTTTAGATGCACACAAACTCCCCTACCTCTTCAAACTCCTGAAACCATTGTGATGGTGCTAATGCATTTGTTGATCTATTGAGTTTTCCTCATAGATGTAAAGACTTACGAAGCGTGGAAGGGAAGCTTACCTCTGGTTTTCGTTGGTCCTTACCTGATCACTGAGCTGTTCAAAAAGTAATAGTAATGTGATGAAAACAGGCTTTGATCAACAAGCGCAAACAATACTGTCAAACTCCATTGCCTTTAATAGCCCCACGCTCTATAACGATCTAATCTCTCGTTCTCACGTTTTTTTTAAAACTTGAAACAAGTGTGTTCTGTTGACCGAAATAGGATGGTCTTGGAATTCTGTCTTTTTGAAATTCTAAATTCTCCTTCTCTCCTCCAGCGTTGGGGGCAGCCTATGGCACGGCTAAGAGCGGCACGGGCATTGCTGCCATGTCGGTGATGCGGCCGGAGCTCATCATGAAGTCCATCATTCCTGTGGTCATGGCGGGTATCATCGCCATCTACGGGCTGGTGGTGGCGGTGCTCATCGCCAACAACATTTCAGAGAAAGTCACGCTCTACAAGTAAGAGCTCAGACAGTGCAGATGCTAGTTACCCATTCTCAAGTCTACCGCTAGGCACTGCATGTCTGAAACGATCTGATTGGTAGTAATATGGTATTGGCTCCACTTGATAGGATTGGTGGATTTTTCCCCATATTGTTTTTCAGAAGTGTTAGCGATGTACTACATCTGTAAACTGATGGTCTGATCTCTTTGGGATGCTATGACTGCAATTGTTTTAAATATTCCTCTCTCTCCCTCCCCATCACATTCTCCTTCTCTCCAACCCATCTCCATCCCTCTCCATCCCTCCTCTCACTTTCTACGCTCTCTCCATCTCGCTCTATCCGTCACCTCTCTCCTGTAGGAGTTTCCTCCACCTGGGTGCTGGGCTGAGTGTGGGGCTGAGCGGGCTGGCGGCTGGTTTCGCCATCGGCATTGTGGGTGACGCAGGCGTTCGGGGTACCGCCCAGCAACCCAGGCTTTTCGTGGGCATGATCCTCATCCTGATCTTCGCAGAGGTCCTGGGGCTCTACGGTCTTATCGTGGCTCTCATCCTCTCCACGAAGTAGAGAAAGAAAGAAAATAACAAAGTCCTTCCATCCATCTGTGTATGTCGAGTCAACGCTACGTCATCCATTCCATATATAAACAACTAAGAAATACAGAACAAATTGGAGAGCATGCCTTTATGCCTGGTTCCAAATCAGCTCCCTTTAGCCACTTCTTTCCTAGTGACACTACTTGATGGTCCTTTGTAGATCTAATAGGTTTGAATAAGTGTTAGCTATATGGTAATGGTAAAGCCACATACCTACCCCCTACCTACCTACCTACATTGCTTATTCATGCCTGTCAGATCTACGAGGGAGGCATCTTGAGGTGTTATGGGCTGTGCCCCAAATGGCACCATATTCTCTACATAGTGCACTACTTTTGACCAGAGCTGTATGGGCCATAGTGCTCTGGTCAAAAGTAGTGCACTCAATAGGGAATAGGGTGCGATTTGGGACACGGCATGGGGTTGATTTGGGATTGGGTGGGAAGCGAAAAGCGTCTCATCTATTCCAGTCGTATCTCTTTTCCTGTACAGTCGTCCTTGAGTCCAGTGGTCAACCCCTTGTAAATGTAGTGATGCGTTCGTCCTGTGCGTGCGTATCGGTTTACCTCCTTCCTCCCAATTTCCTCTCATTTGTGTGTCTGCTAAATTGCTTTTATTATTGTTCCTTTGTTTTTGTTTTTTCTTTTAATGTCCGAAGAACTGACTGTTGGACAAATCATTTTATTTTTCTGGGGACCATTTTCACATTAAAGGACCTAACTAATACGAGGACATGGATAACTATATATTTTTTGTTTGGTTGTTTTTTCACTAATTATTTATGAAGATTTTGAAATGTTAATAAAACTATTTAAATGGAACAAAGTGTTTTGAAATGTTAATAAAACTGTTTAAATGGAACAAAGTGTTTTGAAATGTTAATAAAACTGTTTAAATGGAACAAAGTGTTTTGAAATGTTAAAACTGTTTAAATGGAACAAAGTGTTTTGAAATGTTAAAACTGTTTAAATGGAACAAAGTGTTTATCGAGTTCCCAATGAGAGGTATGTGTATAGCTAGGGTTACTATGGAGACTGTCTCTGATGTCCAGATGTGGGAGTTAACTGTGTTTATGGCGGCAGGCATGTAAAAGTGTGTGGCATGTGAGCGTTCGTGTGTATGCTGTGTAAGAGTGTGTTTTAACTCTAATATGTCATTCTCAACACTCATTCGTACCGTTGACCTGTAGTACTGGGGTGTAATCATTACTCCAAACGAAAACTAGACAGATTCTATTGGACAGATTCAGGTAGGTTCCCCCCCCGTTTAGTTCGTAAATGGTTTCTGTTGCAAGACGTAATGACTAAACATCAGCCGTGGGGTTGCAGTTGCTCACTGTCGGGCCTCGTCTGTCTAATTTCCAATTAAATCTCAACCTCCAAACCACATATTTTCTTGCATTATTTAATGATTTTCTGTAACAATTTTAGAATGGAAGAATAGCTCTTTACCCATTTGCATTGAAATTGTACATTCACTCTGTGTGGGGGGGGGGGGGGGGGGGGGGGGGGGGGTAAATGCTTTGCTCAAGGGTTCAACGGCAGTATGTAGCACATGGATTTGGATATTGATTCCATTGCCACTGTGCCAGCACTACAGATGCAGGCTCAGTCGCTGCCAATTTCTCCCATCAGCTTTATGTGATTCGTTCCCAGCAACAAGCAAGTGGTGGTATGTATGAAATTGATCCTATATGTGCTGTAGTGTAGGAATGTTAAGCCATGTTCATGTTTCTACAGCAGCACTATAAATACACTTAGCGTTCACCATCTTCACCTCTATGCAATTGCACTATAGTTGGAGAGAAAACATTTCCCATATCGCAGCAGTTGGGTTGCATGACAATACAAGTATCCAATCACTGGCGGCAGCTGGGTGGGGTTTGACAATGTATTGTTTGTCTGTGTCCTGAAAATAGGTCATGATCGAGTCAAATGTACAGTATGAACACAGGACAATGAGCCAGATATTTCACCAGATGTATAAATGTGAAGCATCCAGTTGGCGTTTCTGCTCACTACCAAATATGGTCATGAGGAAGCCCATTGGAGCAAGATAGATTTGGCCAAATTTCTGCAAATGTTCTCATTGATCAAACATTTTATCTCCATACAGTTTTCTGTTTCCACAACTAAAATATGTAACAGAGTGCACAGCGTTTTGTAGACTATACCCTTTGCCAGAGTTTCAAAAAAATGTGTTTAGGAGTGCAAGGGCGAATGGAGTTACAGCACACGCGCACTTCACAGAGTAGGCGTTCCCTAACGTAAATATGGAAATAAATGCTAAAACGCGCCAATAGCATCTCACTAGCTGGTGTTTGGCTCTGCCCACCTCTGCTTGTTCTGCCCACTAGGATTCATTTACTATCATTGGAAACGACAGACTCTGGTCTATCTTGGACCAGAGCCTGTTAAATAGCCATCACCAGCACATTAGAGGCTGCTGCTGCCTATTGAAATCACTGGCCACTTTAAGAAATGGAACACTAGTCACTCTAATAATGTTTACAGTCACTTTAATAATGTTTACATATCTTGCACTACTCATCTCATATGTATATACTGTATTCTATTCTATAATATTCTACTGTATTTTAGTCCATGCCGCTCTGTCATTGCTTGTCCATATATGTATATTTTCTTAAATTCCATTCCTTACTAGTTTTGTGTGTATTAGGTATATGTTGTGAAATTGTTAGATATTACTGCACTGTCGGAGCTAGAAGCACAAGCATTTCGCAACACCCGCTATAACATCTGCTAAACACGTGTATGTGACAAATACAATTTGATTTGATTTATAAAAAAATATTTGCTTTGAAGTTGGGAAGAAACTGCTTCTCCAATAGAAATCCCGGATCACACTTGTAGGCGATGTCATGGCAACGTTGGCTATCTAAACGCATGCGTAGAAACACCGAATCGGGTCTAACGGTCGTCTCGCGCCAAACTGCGCATGTGTAGGCCGTCAAATCAAATCATTCCTTAGATAGAAATAAATTTGACGAAAATGAACACGTGTCAGTTTCTCACTTTCATGACGTTGGAATAATAACATGTTGAACTACTTAAAACATTGGCTCGAATCCAGGTTGTGCCTTTAGGTTTTGAGAAAATTAACAACTAAGGAATATTCTTTCACGTATCTCATTGAAGTCTCAAACCTCGGCCTGGTCTGCTTGGCAAGCGTTCCCGGAAGTCTCGCGATGTTGCGCCTCTGGGTTTAGAAACTCTGTGATAGAGAGTGAGTTAAGCTAGTTGGTAGACTAGCATGTTAGTAAAGAAAGTACTTCGCTGCAAATGTTTGATAAAGATATTGGCCTATACAGTCCTGTGACATTTAACGAAGACGGAGGGCTTATTTTTAAGTGTCGGACAAGAAACGGACGACTGGCAAGCTGGTAACGTTACATTACAGGTAAATTAGCAATCGCGCTAACGCTATCTAGCCAGCCAACTGTAACTAGCTAGGTACTCGCAAGCTAGCTAACGTCAACAAAAACATGTTGTTGGAGAAAGGTTACAAACTGTATGTTCATGTAATTAGTTATGATGCATATTATTTCCTACATTTTTGCCATGATGTAAATGTTTAGTCCTTGACCAAGGAGGGACAGCTAGCCCGTTAACGTTAGTTAAATAGAAAAAGTGTTGCAGCACGCTAGGGCTGTTCGCGAGCCAGCTAGGCCCGAAACGTAGCGGACGAAATGCACGAGATGATTGATTGCATGATCTAATCAACAGCCTAGCCTACACATTTGCGTGGCTTAGCTATGAATGACATTGCTTAATCATAGTAGTCAAACGAGTTAAATCGACATCCATTTATGGAAAATGATCTGCCGAGTTTAAGGGCGAATTATCTTTTCTCTTGCCACATATTCAAATTCCTTTATTATGTCATAAGGCACAAGGGTTATGGTATATGGCCAATATACCATGGCCAAGGGCTGTTCTTATGCACGACACAACGCGGCATGCCTGGATACAGCCGTTAGCCATGGTATATTGGCCATATACCACAAACCCCCAGGGAGCCTTATTGCAATTATAAACTGGTTACCACTGTAATTAGAACAGTAAAAAGTAATGTTTTGTCATACCAGTGGTATATGGCCTGATATACCACGGCTTTCAGCCAATCAGCATTCAGTGCTCGAACAAGGTTTATACATGTAAATAAATTCCCTTTGCGCATATGCGTAACTATAGATAAATCCAATAGGAGAGTTTGAGTGATGAAAGTTGGACAGAGGATCTCGAAATCTCTGAGCAAGAAACACTTGGATGAACGTAAACTAATGTTAGGCTACAAACTGTTATAAAAGGCCCATTTGAGAGATTGACTTGTCATTTCAATAGGCATAGGCTACAGATTAAAATCAGGGTTTATGAATGTAATTACATTTTGCCATAGTTTGCTTAGCTAAAGTCAGGTATCCTATAGCCCCTGATAGGCCTACATGTAATTTCAGATAGTCTACAGTAGCCTAGGCAAGATGTAAACTGAACGATTTAGCAGCTTGCCTAGTTCAAATTAACAGACAAATGTATTCATTAGTAGCGAGGCGATTTCGCAAATAAGAAGTGCTTGTTTCCCAATAGCCTGCTGGAATAGGCTACTGATGATGGGGTCATCATTTCAATCATTGAATTAAATATTACTTATATGTATATGAACTGAATATGCTTGTCAACAACAGCCAGTGTTTATTTTTTTTAAATTTGTTTTACCTGTAGCCTAATCTGACAACTGTTTGTTTTTGTATTTATTATGGGTCCCCATTAGCTGCTGCCAATGGGGTTCCAGCAAAATTAAGGCAGTTTATACAATTTTAAAAACATTACAATACATTCACAGATTTCACAACACACTGTGTGCCCTCAGGCCCCTACTCCACCACTACCACATATCTACAGTACAGAATCCATGTGTACGTCTGTGTATAGTGCGTATGTTATCGTGTGTGTGTGTGTGTGTGTGTGTGTGTGTGTGTGTGTGTGTGTATGCATGTGTCTGTGCCTATGTTTGTGTTGCTTCAGTCTCCGCTGTTCCATAAGGTGTTTTTAATGTTTTTCTAATGTGTTCATAATAACACAAGGCTACAACAACAAACTGTAGTCATAGGCTATTTATTAAATTGGTTTGCCAGCTCCAGGTAGGCTACACAAATGGCACAAATTGATTTGCAATGACTCCAGTGATATCGTCATTTCAACATATTTATTGTATCAAATGGTAGCCTACAATGGCATATACATTAATAGGCTACTTGATGGCCAACAGAGGCAAATGTATAATTCTCCACATTTAGCCTAATGTCAGTTTCATTGAGGACTTTTCCCCATAAAAAGAACCACGTGAGGGAGTACCATAACTTCCATTTCAAATTTCCACTCGGGTAGCTCCCAAGAACTGAGCATGTATAAAGTACTTTGCTTGATACCTTTTCTTTAAGCAGGCAACATTAGAATGCAGTTTTAACCTCAGAGCGAATCTATGTAATGCGCTCTAGTGCGCCCAAAGTCGTTTTCCCAGTGCTTTTGTAACCGGTTCTGTACCGGTACCTTTCTGCTTTGTGTTCTGGTGAGGTGGAAAGGAAGGGAAGGCTCTGGACACAATTCTACAGGTTGTCTCTCTTTTAATGACTGCATGGAATGGATACAAATGCAAGGCAAACGTTAATGCTACCGTCTGGACTCATACACAAGTATATTTGCTTGACAAAAGATAGTGCAGAATGCCTGTGAGAAAATCGTCAGAAAACTGTACCTGAAAGAGACCGTCTCCCGCACCCAAAGCAAACTGTAGCTGGTCTAGCCTTGCAAAGTTGCACTCTAAAATTATCCCCATTCACGCTAATATATATTCCTACCAACAATAGTGCAACAACACTATATTGATGACGATATATAATATATATATGTATATTTTTTCATTTTAACATTTGCTAACATGTACAGTGGGGAGAACAAGTATTTGATACACTGCTGATTTTGCAGGTTTTCCTACTTACAAAGCATGTAGAGGTCTGTAATTTTGATCATAGGTACACTTCAACTGTGAGAGACGGAATCTAAAACAAAAATCCAGAAAATCACATTTGTATGATTTTTTAAGTAATTAATTTGCATTTTATTGCATGACATAAGTATTTGATCACCTACCAACCAGTAAGAATTCCGGCTCTCACAGACCTGTTAGTTTTTCTTTAAGAAGCCCTCCTGTTCTCCACTCATTACCTGTATTAACTGCACCTGTTTGAACTCGTTACCTGTATAAAAGACACCTGTCCACACACTCAATCAAACAGACTCCAACCTCTCCACAATGGCCAAAACCAGAGAGCTGTGTAAGGACATCAGGGATAAAATTGTAGACCTGCACAAGGCTGGGATGGGCTACAGGACAATAGGCAAGCAGCTTGGTGAGAAGGCAACAACTGTTGGCGCAATTATTAGAAAATGGAAGAAGTTCAAGATGACGGTCAATCACCCTCGGTCTGGGGCTCCATGCAAGATCTCACCTCGTGGGGCATCAATGATCATGAAGAAGGTGAGGGATCAGCCCAGAACTACACGGCAGGACCTGGTCAATGACCTGAAGAGAGCTGGGACCACAGTCTCAAAGAAAACCATTAGTAACACACTACGCCGTCATGGATTAAAATCCTGCAGCGCACACAAGGTCCCCCGTGCTCAAGCCAGCGCATGTCCAGGCCCGTCTGAAGTTTGCCAATGACCATCTGGATGATCCAGAGGAGGAATGGGAGAAGGTCATGTGGTCTGATGAGACAAAAATAGAGCTTTTTGGTCTAAACTCCACTCGCCGTGTTTGGAGGAAGAAGAAGGATGAGTACAACCCCAAGAACACCATCCCAACCGTGAAGCATGGAGGTGGAAACATCATTCTTTGGGGATGCTTTTCTGCAAATGGGACAGGACGACTGCACCGTATTGAGGGGAGGATGGATGGGGCCATGTATCGCGAGATCTTGGCCAACAACCTCCTTCCCCTCAGTAAGAGCATTGAAGATGGGTCGTGGCTGGGTCTTCCAGCATGACAACGACCCAAAACACACAGCCAGGGCAACTAAGGAGTGGCTCCGTAAGAAGCATCTCAAGGTCCTGGAGTGGCCTAGCCAGTCTCCAGACCTGAACCCAATAGAACATCTTTGGAGGGAGCTGAAAGTCCGTATTGCCCAGCGACAGCCCCGAAACCTGAAGGATCTGGAGAAGGTCTGTATGGAGGAGTGGGCCAAAATCCCTGCTGCAGTGTGTGCAAACCTGGTCAAGACCTACAGGAAACGTATGATCTCTGTAATTGCAAACAATGGTTTCTGTACCAATGACTCTTAAGTGTAATGTAATGGAACTGAAATTCATGATCAAGGGCTAGGAATCAGTAGGCCTGTCCATATAGGAAAGGGAGAATGGACAAAGGGGCCAGGGTTCCGGTCTAGAAGCTGCTCCTGCCAAAGGTGCTTCAACAAAGTACTGAGTAAAGGGTCTGAATACTTATTTAAATGTGAAGTTATTTTATTTATTGCTTTGTCATTATGGGGTAAAGATTGATGAGGGGGAAAAAACGTAAATCAATTTTAGAATAAGGCTGTAATGTAATAAAATGTGGAAAAAGTCAAGGGGTCTGAATACTTTCCAAATGCGCTGTATATCACATTTGCCTACATTGTAAAAATGTCAACGTCTGTAGCTCATAGGGCTCTGGTTAAAATTAATGTGCCGAATATGGTGTCATTTTGGACGCAACCTTTGTCCATCCAACCCTGACTCTCCTGACTCCTCCATCCCCCAGGTGTCCTGCTGCGATGTCAAGGCGGAGCAGAAACAGCCGGGCGTGGCGTTACGTGTGGAGTGGAATACGGCGAGACGCTGATTCCCGGGCGCTGGTACTGTCCTCAGAGAGTGAGGAGTGGGGCTACGAACGCTTACAGGTAAGCGTTCGTAGCCCCCCACACTTGATCTCTCTCTATTGTCGAGAACTGTTCTATAATTTAACGTTTTTTGTTTCTGTCTTTTCTATGTCTTTGTCTACATGTTTATTTATGTTTACAGCAAGCAAGGGGAAGATATCAGAACAGGGACATTGGGGAATAATAACATATTGTACGGGATATATTTGTACTGTAGTGACGCAGTTTCTAAAGTAATACAAGGTCTCTTTCATGATCATGTGAAACGTCAATTGCTATGGAACTGCTGGGATGTATTTTTCTATGAAAATGATGTTAAAGGTAATTATGATGCAACTATGATGGTGATACGATATGGATTACGATTATCATCCTGAATATTAAGGCTATACTCACTTCATGTTACACACACAGACACTCAACCATGCAAATTGTCTGGGTTATTATTTACTTGGACATCACACATTATAGTCTTACTCTTACCCAGACATCATACACACTCACTAAATCACATCCAATATCATACACATCAACCTACAGTGGGGAAAGAAAGTATTTAGTCAGCCACCAATTGTGCAAGTTCTCCTACTTAAAAAGATGAGAGAGGCCTGTAATTTTCATCATAGGTACACGTCAACTATGACAGACAAAATGAGATTTTTTTTCTCCAGAAAATCACATTATAGGATTTTTTATGAATTTATTTGCAAATGATGGTGGAAAATAAGTATTTGGTCAATAACAAAAGTTTCTCAATACTTTTATATACCCTTTCTTGGCAATGACACAGGTCAAACGTTTTCTGTAAGTCTTCACAAGGTTTTCACACACTGTTGCTGGTATTTTGGCCCATTCCTACATGCAGATCTCCTCTAGAGCAGTGATGTTTTGGGGCTGTCGCTGGGCAACACGGACTTTCAACTCCCTCCAAAGATTTTCTATGGGGTTGAGATCTGGAGACTGGCTAGGCCACTCCAGGACCTTGAAATGCTTCTTACGAAGCCACTCCTTCGTTGCCCGGGCGGTGTGTTTGGGATCATTGTCATGCTGAAAGACCCAGCCACGTTTCATCTTCAATGCCCTTGCTGATGGAAGGAGGTTTTCACTCAAAATCTCACAATACATGGCCCCATTCATTCTTTCCTTTACACGGATCAGTCGTCCTGGTCCCTTTGCAGAAAAACAGCCCCAAAGCATGATGTTTCCACCCCCATGCTTCACAGTAGGTATGGTGTTCTTTGGATGCAACTCAGCATTCTTTGTCCTCCAAACACGACGAGTTGAGTTTTTACCAAAAAGTTCTATTTTGGTTTCATCTGACCATATGACATTCTCCCAATCCTCTTCTGGATCATCCAAATGCACTCTAGCAAACTTCAGACGGGCCTGGACATGTACTGGCTTAAGCAGGGGGACACGTCTGGCACTGCAGGATTTGAGTCCCTGGCGGCGTAGTGTGTTACTGATGGTAGGCTTTGTTATTTTGGTCCCAGCTCTCTGCAGGTCATTCACTAGGTCCCCCCGTGTGGTTCTGGGATTTTTGCTCACCGTTCTTGTGATCATTTTGACCCCACGGGGTGAGATCTTGCGTGGAGCCCCGGATCGAGGGAGATTATCAGTGGTCTTGTATGTCTTCCATTTCCTAATAATTGCTCCCACAGTTGATTTCTTCAAACCAAGCTGCTTACCTATTGCAGATTCAGTCTTCCCAGCCTGGTGCAGGTCTACAATTTTGTTTCTGGTGTCCTTTGACAGCTTTTTGGTCTTGGCCATAGTGGAGTTTGGAGTGTGACTGTTTGAGGTTGTGGACAGGTGTCTTTTATACTGATAACAAGTTCAAACAGGTGCCATTAATACAGGTAACCAGTGGAGGACAGAGGAGCCTCTTAAAGAAGAAGTTACAGGTCTGTGAGAGCCAGAAATCTTGCTTGTTTGTAGGTGAACAAATACTTATTTTCCACCATAATTTGCAAATAAATTCATTAAAAATCCTACAATGTGATTTTCTGGGGAAAAAAATCTCAATTTGTCTGTCATAATTGACGTGTACCTATGATGAAAATTACAGGCCTCATCTTTTTAAGTGGGAGAACTTGCACAATTGGTGGCTGACTAAATACTTTTTTTCCCCACTGTACTCAGATTTACTACACACAATATCTTGACTCAATTTTCTAACATCTGTAGCATTAGCTAACAGGCAAATAGGAAAGTGACCGTCAAAATACCTCTTATGGCAGTAACTTTACAAGCACTAATTATGGTCAATTTAGACTGAGAATAATATCTAGTTATGGTAAGGGGTGAAATAAGTATAGCCAGTTATAGTTGTAACGGTTTAGCAGATTATTTAAAAAAATCAGTCATTACGTGGTTAAAATAAAAGGAATGTAACGTATACTGTTTACAGGAAACTATTTCTACATCCTTAGATTAAGTTGTGTGGAAAAAGGAATGGGGTGGTGAAATAATTTTCTGTCATGGACAAAGGAACTCAAAAGGTGTGATGATATTAATTAACACATTTCGATCTGAATGTGCAAATTGTCAGGAATGATTCGCAAGGAAGGTGGATCTTTTTGAATATGAAAGTGGATGAAAAACTGATTTGGCTCATTAATCTATATGGTCCAAATCAGGATGATCCATACTTCTTCGAAAATATTCATACCAATTTATTGAATTTACAGGCAACAAATGATCACATCGTTATGGTGGGAGACTATAACACAGTACCTCAATGGACCGTAAAGTGAATCACTCTACAAACTATCATCAACGTGCCCTTAAGGAAATCACAAATATTATGGACACATTAGAAATAGTGGATATTTGGAGACTAAAAACCGCCGTCGTAGTGAGATATACAGTGGGGGAAAAAAGTATTTAGTCAGCCACCAATTGTGCAAGTTCTCCCACTTAAAAAGATGAGAGAGGCCTGTAATTTTCATCATAGGTACACGTCAACTATGACAGACAAAATGAGGAAAAAAATTCCAGAAAATCACATTGTAGGATTTTTTATGAATTTATTTGCAGATTATGGTGGAAAATAAGTATTTGGTCAATAACAAAAGTTTCTCAATACTTTGTTATATACCCTTTGTTGGCAATGACACAGGTCAAACGTTTTCTGTAAGTCTTCACAAGGTTTTCACACACTGTTGCTGGTATTTTGGCCCATTCCTCCATGCAGATCTCCTCTAGAGCAGTGATGTTTTGGGGCTGTCGCTGGGCAACACAGACTTTCAACTCCCTCCAAAAATGTTCTATGGGGTTGAGATCTGGAGACTGGCTAGGCCACTCCAGGACCTTGAAATGCTTCTTACGAAGCCACTCCTTCGTTGCCCGGGCGGTGTGTTTGGGATCATTGTCATGCTGAAAGACCCAGTCACGTTTAATCTTCAATGCCCTTGCTGATGGAAGGAGGTTTTCACTCAAAATCTCACGATACATGGCCCCATTCATTCTTTCCTTTACACGGATCAGTCGTCCTGGTCCCTTTGCAGAAAAACAGCCCCAAAGCATGATGTTTCCACCCCCATGCTTCACAGTAGGTATGGTGTTCTTTGGATGCAACTCAGCATTCTTTGTCCTCCAAACACGACGAGTTGAGTTTTTACCAAAAAGTTCTATTTTGGTTTCATCTGACCATATGACATTCTCCCAATCCTCTTCTGGATCATCCAAATGCACTCTAGCAAACTTCAGACGGGCCTGGACATGTACTGGCTTAAGCAGGGGGACACGTCTGGCACTGCAGGATTTGAGTCCCTGGCGGCGTAGTGTGTTACTGATGGTAGGCTTTGTTATTTTGGTCCCAGCTCTCTGCAGGTCATTCACTAGGTCCCCCCGTGTGGTTCTGGGATTTTTGCTCACCGTTCTTGTGATCATTTTGACCCCACGGGGTGAGATCTTGCGTGGAGCCCCGGATCGAGGGAGATTATCAGTGGTCTTGTATGTCTTCCATTTCCTAATAATTGCTCCCACAGTTGATTTCTTCAAACCAAGCTGCTTACCTATTGCAGATTCAGTCTTCCCAGCCTGGTGCAGGTCTACAATTTTGTTTCTGGTGTCCTTTGACAGCTTTTTGGTCTTGGCCATAGTGGAGTTTGGAGTGTGACTGTTTGAGGTTGTGGACAGGTGTCTTTTATACTGATAACAAGTTCAAACAGGTGCCATTAATACAGGTAACCAGTGGAGGACAGAGGAGCCTCTTAAAGAAGAAGTTACAGGTCTGTGAGAGCCAGAAATCTTGCTTGTTTGTAGGTGAACAAATACTTATTTTCCACCATAATTTGCAAATAAATTCATTAAAAATCCTACAATATGATTTTCTGGATTTTTTTTTCTCAATTTGTCTGTCATAGTTGACGTGTACCTATGATGAAAATTACAGGCCTCTCTCATCTTTTTGAGTGGGAGAACTTGCACAATTGGTGGCTGACTAAATACTTTTTTTCCCCACTGTACATGGAGGAGACTTAATCAAGCTAGTCATCTTGACTACTTTCTTGTCTCTTTCTCTCTTGCATCAAATGTTTAAAACGTTTTAATAGGAGACAGAATGCGATCGGATCAACATCTAATTGGCCTTCACATAACTTTTATAGAATGTCCACGTGGACGGGGATATTGGAAATGTAATCAAAGTTTACTGGAAGACAATTTATTTTTAACTAAGACAAAATAATTTATAAATGAATTTTTCCAGTACAATATAGGTTCAGCAAATCCCCTTATTGTTTGGATACCTTTTTAAATGTACTTTCAGAGGTCATTCAATTCAATATTCATCAATAATTTAAAAAAGCACTTTCTGGCTAAAGAGACAAGACTAACAAGGGAAATACATGAGCTAATAAATTCAGCAAAAAAAGAAACGTCCCTTTTTCAGGACCTTGTCTTTCAAAGATAATTCGTAAAAATCCAAATAACTTCACAGATCTTCATTGTAAAGGGTTTAAACACTGTTTCCCATGCGTGTTCAATGAACCATAAACAATTAATGAACATGCACCTTTGGAACGGTCGTTAAGACACTAACAGCTTACAGACGGTAGGCAATTAACGTCACAGTTATGAAAACTTAGGACACTAAAGAGGCCTTTCTACTGACTCTGGAAAAACACCAAAAGAAAGAAGCCCAGGGTCCCTGCTCATCTGCGTGAACGTGCCTTAGGCATGCAGCAAGGAGGCATGAGGACTGCAGATGTGGCCAGGGCAATAAATTGCCATGTCCGTACTGTGAGACGCCTAAGACAGCGCTACAGGGAGACAGGACGGACAGCTGATCGTCCTGGCAGTGGCAGACCACGTGTAACAACACCTGCACAGGATCGGTACATCCGAACATCACACCTGCAGGACAGGTACAGGATGGCAACAACAACTGCCAGAGTTACACCAGGAACGCACAATCCCTCCATCATTGCTCAGACTGTCCGCAATAGGCTGAGCGAGGCTGGACTGAGGGTTTGTAGGCCTGTTGTAAGGCAGGTCCTTACCAGACATCACCGGCAACAACGTTGCCTATGGGCACAAACCCACTGTCGCTGGACCAGACAGGACTGGCAAAAAGTGCTCTTCACTGACGAGTCGCGGTTTTGTCTCACCAGGGGTGATGGTCGGATTCGCGTTTATTGTCGAAGGAATGAGCGTTACACCGAGGCCTGTACTGTGGAGCGGGATCGATTTTGGAGGTGGATGGTCTGTGGCGGTGTGTCACAGCATCATCGAACTGAGCTTGTTGTCATTGCAGGCAATCTCAACGCTGTGTGTTACAGGGAAGACATCCTCCTCCCTCATGTGGTACCCTTCCTGCAGGCTCATCCTGACATGACCCTCCAGCATGACAATGCCACCAGCCATACTGCTCGTTCTGTGCGTGATTTCCTGCAAGACAGGAATGTCAGTGTTCTGCCATGGCCAGCGAAGAGCCCGGATCTCAATCCCATTGAGCACATGTGGGACCTGTTGGATCGGAGGGTGAGGGCTAGGGCCATTCCCCCCAGAAATGTACGGGAACTTGCAGGTGCCTTGGTGGAAGTGTGGGGTAACATCTCACAGCAAGAACTGGCAAATCTGGTGCAGTCCATGAGGAGGAGATGCACTGCAGTACTTAATGCAGCTGGTGTCCACACCAGATACTGACTGTTACTTTTGATTTTGACTCCCCCCTTTGTTCAGGGATACATTATTTAATTTATGTTAGTCACATCTCTGTGGAACTTGATCAGTTTAAGTCTCAGTTGTTGAATCTTATGTTCATACAAATATTTACACATGTTAAGTTTGCTGAAAATAAACGCAATTGACAGTGAGGACGTTTCTTTTTTTGCTGAGTTTAGTACAGGTAGATAGCAATAAAAACGATACTGCAGAGATACAAAAAAAGTTGGAGGAAAAACAAAAAGAACTGAAGGAACTTATTCAAGAACGATCTAAGGTAATCTATTACAAAAAGAAAGCAAACTGGATGGAATATGGAGAAAAATGCACCAACTTCTTTCTGAATCTCCAACACAGGAACGCTAATAAAAGGAATTTACAGAAACTTGTTACTGAAGACGGAGTCATCTATGATTCTCCAAATTATATTTTAAAAGCTAAATATTTTAAGCAGATGTTCTCTTTTCCGTCTCATCCTCACCCACTGAATGACGATTACAGTAAGGAATTGTTTCCAAATAAATATAAAAAAAGGAAAATCAACAAATGTACAGAAAGATAAGTGCGAAGGCCAAATTAGAGGAATAACTTTTTGAGGTTATTCAATCCTTTCAGTGTGGAAAAACTCTAGGGCTTGATGGCATACCGGTAGAGGTATATCAAGCCTTTTTTGATGTACTCACAGCTCCATTGTTTGCTTGTTTTAACTACTCCTATTGGAATGGTAGTCTGTCAGGTACTCAGCAGGAAGGTCTGATTTCACGATTATTAAAACAAGACCCAGATGGCAAATAGACTGGATCTTTATATCTTAAAAACTGTAGGCCTCTTACACTTCAATGTTGCGATGCAAAAATACTAGCGAAATGCATAGCACTCAGAATGAAAAAGGTTTTACCAGGTATTGTTCATACTGATCAGACAGGTTTTTCACATGGATGATACATTGGAGATAATATACAACAACTACTAGAAATAATAGAACATCATGAAACATCTAAGAAGCCAGGCCTGGTATTTATAGCGGATTTTGAAAAGGCCTTTGATAAAGTAAGACTGGATTTTATTTATAAATGATTGGATTTTTTCAATTTCGGTGATTCTCTTATAAAATGGGTAAAAGTAATGTATAGTAACCCCAGGTGTAAATAGCGGCTACTTCTGAGTTTTTAATTGTCAAGAGGAGTTAAACAAGGGTGTCCGCTGTCACCATATCTATTTGTTATGGCCATCGAAACGCTAGCTATTAAAATCAGATCAAATAACAACAGAGGATTAGAAATCCAAGGCTTAAAAAAAAGGTGTCCATGTATGCCAACGACTCAAGTTTTATTAAGTCTGCATGATAGACCCCTGCAATGTCTCATTGAAGATCTAGATAATGTTTCTGGACTCTCTGGACTAAAACCTAATTATGATGAAGTGTACAATATTACGTATTGGATCTTTCAAAAATACAACTTTTACATTACCCTGCAGTTTACCTATAAAATGGGCTGATGGTGAAGTAGACATACTTGGTATTCATATCACAAAATATATAAATGAGCTCTCTACAATGAATTTCAATAGAACACTTGTAAAAATAGAAAAGGTCCTGCAACCATGGAGAGGTAAATACCTGTCTATTTATGGAAAATTGCCCTGATTTATTTCCTTAGTCATCTCAGTTTACTTATGGCACTGCCTACTCCTGATGATTCGTTTTTCAAATCATATGAGCAAAAAATATTTTGCTTTGACCTCCCGAGTGGCGCAGTGGTCTAAGGCACTGCATTGCAGTGCTAGCTGTGCCACTAGAGATCCTGGTTCGAATCCAGGCTCTGTCCTAGCCGGCCGCGACCGGGAGACCCATGGGGCGGCGCACAATTGGCCCAGCGTCGTCCAGGGTAGGGGAGAGAATGGCCGGCAGGGATGTAGCTCAGTTGGTAGAGCATGGCGTTTGCAACGCCAGGGTTGTGGGTTCGATTCCCACGGGGGGCCAGTATGAAAAATAGCCACTGTATATAATGAATATGAATTGGGTGGGTTGAGATTATTAAATATAAAAGCCCTTAACATCTCAAAGCATCACTTATTCAAAAGTTTTACTTGAACCCTAAATGGTTCTCAAGTAGATTACTAAGGAAAGCTCATGCATTGTTTAAAAATGGCCTTTTTGCCTTTGTGCAGATTGCCATGTCTCATTTTCGATTAATTGGAAATGATATTTTGTAATTGGTTGCACCAGATCTTATTTAGGGGCTTCATAGCAAAGGGGGTGAATACATATGCACGCACCACTTTTCCGTTATTTATTTTTGTAGAATGTTTTTTAACAACTAATTTTTTCATTTCACTTCACCAATTTGGACTATTTTGTGTATGTCCATGACATGAAATCCAAATAAAAATCATTTTAAATTACAGGTTGTAATGCAACAAAATAGGAAAAACGCCAAGGGGGATGAATACTTTTGCAAGGCACTGTATCTCTCTTTTTCAAACAAGCATTGCAGAGCTGGCTACAATTTCAATTTCATCCTCCTGAAAAGAGAGAACAAACATTATGGCTGAACTCAAATGTGCTGGTTGATAAAATACCTGTATTTACGGGAAAGATGTTGGAAAAGGGTATTTTGTTTTTAAATGATATTGTAAATTTGAATGGTAGTTATGTCTTTCATGGAGTTATCAGAATTGTATGGGAAGGTTTGCACAATCCAAGATTACAACCAACTGATTACAGCATTACCCCAAAAATGGAGGAGGCAGTGGGAGAAGGTAGGGAACTGGTCTGTCTGCCCAATATAAAGGATCAAAACTGGCGGAGGAATAAATATAGCATAAATAGGAAAGTATACCAGTTTCATTTGTGGACCAGGATGTTGACAGCTGTGCTATACAGATTGCAAAATAGTTGGGAAGAGATTTCTGATGTACCAATTCCATGGTACAGGGTGTATGAGTTGATATATAAAACGACGCAAGGTTCAAGACTTCATGCTTTTCAGCTAAAATTATTAAATACAATCATCGAAGCTCTGCAGATTTTGTTGTGAGGATACAGAATCAATAGACCATTTATTTTGGTAATGCCCTCAGGTAGCCTGTTTCTGGTCTCAGGTTCAGGAATGGCTGAAAATGTATAACATTGATCTACATTGGTCTCGGATGGTTGAGGGGCAGCTCTTGGGGAACTGTGAGGGGGATCTTGGAGGGCTGGTGGCTTGGCGGTTGGGAGCTTGGGCCGGTGGCTGATGGATCGCTGGTTCGGGTCCCCGTTTTTGACCTTGTTGGAGATCTGTCGACGTGCCCTTGAGCAGGGCGTTGACCCTGGTTGCTTCTGGATGGGCGTCTGTTAGATGACTAATGTGATGTGGTTGTTGAGTGGCTTCACTGCAAGTATATTGTTTTAAATATTCAATAAATATATATATTTTTAAAATAGGGTCCGTTTGTGACGGACGTAGACCAGGGGTGTCAAACTCATTCCATGAAGGGCAGATTGACTTCTGGTTTTTGTTATTTCCTTTCAATTTGTGTCCAATTTAAGACCTAGACAACCAGGTGAGGGGAGTTCCTAACTAATCAGTGACATAAGGCTAGTTGATCAATCAAGTACAAGGGAGGAGTGAAAATCCGCAGACAATTGGCCTCCCATGGAATGAGTTTTGACACCTGTGACGTAGAGGGTTCCATTGTGCCAGAAAAGCGGAGTCAAGCACAGCTGACATATTTGAGCACTGTTATGTACTGTTTGTAAATTGTGTTTGTGGCCTCTGCAGTACAGTGACTCAGACTCTGAGCCAGACTACCGGCCCGTGGTGCCACCGGTCCCCAGTGCCGTGCCCGTTACCGGAGAGTCGTACTGCACCTGCGACTCCCAGGCCGAGCCCAGCTACAACCCACGTCTCCAGGGCTTCCACCGCATCAAAGACTGCCACTGTGGAGAGGAAGACCAGGGTGAGGACGGGAGGGCCAGGGTGGGGAAACCAGGGTTGTGTTCAGAAGGGCACGCTGTAGCAAAATGTTTTGAAGTGGAAAATTAGTGTTTTGTTTTTGGTCAAGTTCAGGTAGTCCCTCCAGGTATTTCAGGTATTTCACACTGTTTCTGAGGGTTTTTTTCTGTTCCCAAAGTGAAACTCACCATTATTTGCTTATTAAAATATCTAAGTGTCTGAAATGTTGGAAGTCAACTGTCATTGGATCCACTGACGTCTTGACATTGCAGACTTCGACTGGGTGTGGGACGACAGTAACCGCTCCACGGCCACGTTGATGACCTGCGACAACCGCAAAGTCAACTTCCACACGGAGTACAGCTGCGGCACAGCAGCCATCAGAGGCTCCAAGGAGCTGGCAGATGGACAGCACTTCTGGGAGATCAAGATGACATCACCAGTGTACGGGACAGATATGGTGAGGCGCCGCCCATCATTACTCAGGAGACAGGATTGTGAGGATCAGTGGAGGCTGGTGTCACCTTAAATCGGCGGACGGGCACATTGTAATGGAATGAATGGAACGGTTTTCATTCATTCCATTCCAGCCATTACTATGAGCCTGTCTTCTGATTTCTCTCTTCACCAGCCTCCACTGCTGTGGGTTGGGGCTTAGGCTTGTAAAACCTTAGGAAGTTTAGTGGTTTCTCTTTCCTAAAGCTTATTTTGTGAACCTTTTGCATGTTGTGTGTTGGTGAGCATGTTGATGACGGTTCTATTTTGATGTTATGTGATTTAAGGTGAACATGTTGAATGACTCTTCTATGTTGATGTTGTGTAGATGGTAGGCATCGGAACCTGTGACGTGAACCTAGATAAGTACAGACATACCTTCTGCAGCCTGTTGGGGAAGGATGACGACAGCTGGGGTCTCTCCTACACTGGTAAAACCATATAATCCATCAGATAATCCTTATCACAAACAGACCTGGGTTCATTAAGTATTTGTTTTCTTTCACATACATTCAGCGTTTGATTGAGCCTGCCTGGAGTGGTGCCTGCTCTGCTGGACAAGGTTTTCACTTTTTTAGCTATCCCATTTGTACCAGGCAAGCTCAATCAAACACAGCTCAAAGTATTTAAAAAAAACAAATAATATTTGAACCCAGGCCCCTGATCACAAAACATATACAGTGAAATCATCAGCTGCAGTGTTAATCACCCAGTGTTACCTGTTTTGTTTTCTTTTCTTTAAAAAGAAAAGCTTCACAGTAGTAGTAGCTTCTAGTAGCTCCGATGCAGGGTTGTTAAACACTGCGGGGTACCAGTCAAAAGTTTGGACACACCTACTCATTCAAGGGTTTTTCTTTATTTTTTACTACGAAATAACACATCTGGAATCATGTAGTAACCAAAAAAGTGTTAAACAAAAAATATATTTTATATTCTTCAAAGTAGCCACCCTTTGCCTTGGTGACAGCTTTGCACACTTGGCATTCTCTTAACCAGCTTCACCTGGAATGCTTTTCCAACAGTCTTGAAGGAGGTCCCACATATGCTGAGCACTTGTTGGCTGCTTTTCCTTCACTCTGCGGTCCAACTCATCCCAAACCATCTCCATTGGGTTGAGGTCGGGTGATTGTGGAGGCCAGGTCATCTGATGCAGCACTCTTCTTCTTGGTCAAATAGCCCTTACACAGCCTGGAGGTATGTTGGGTCACTGTCCTGTTGAGAAACAAATGATAGTCCCACTAAGCGCAAACCAGATGGGATGGCGTATCGCTGCAGAATGCTGTGGTAGCCATGCTGGTTAAGTTTACCTTGAATTCTAAATAAATCACACAGGATCACCAGCAAAGCACCCCCACACCATCACACCACCACCTCCATTCGTTCACCTACTCTGCGTCTCACAAAGACACAGCGGTTGGAACCAGAAATCTCAAATTTGGACTCATCAGACCAAAGGACAGATTTCCACCTGTCTAAAGTCCGTTGATCTTGTTTCTTGGCCCAAGCAAGTCTCTTCTTATTATTGGTGTCCTTTAGTAGTGGTTTCTTTGCAGCAATTCGACCATGAAGGCCTGATTCACGTAGTCTCCTCTGAACAGTTGACGTTGAGATGTCTGTTACTTGAACTCTGTGAGTTTATTTGGGCTGCAATTTCTGAGGCTGTTAACTCTAATGAACTTATCCTCTGCAGCAGAGGTAACTCTGGGTCTTCCTTTCCTGTGCGGTCCTCATGAGAGCCAGTTTCATCATAGCACTTGATGGTTTTTGCAACTGCACTTGAAGAGACTTTCAAAGTTCTTGAAATGTTCCACATTGACTAACCTTCATGTCTTAAAGTAATGAATGACTGTTGTTTCTCTTTGCTTATTTGAGCTATTCTTGCCATAATATGGACTTGGTCTTTTACCAAATAGGGCTATCTTCTGTAAACCACCCCTACCTTGTCACAACACAACTGATTGGCTCAAACGCATTAAGAATGAAAGAAATTCCACAAATTAACTTTTAACAAGGCACACCTGTTAATTGAAAAGCATTCCAGCTGACTACCTCATGAAGCTGGTTGAGAGAATGCCAAGAGTGTGCAAAGCTGTCATCAAGGCAAAGGGTTGCTACTTTGAAGAATCTCAAATATAAAATATATTTTGATTTGTTAACACTTTCTTTGGTTACTACATGATTCCATATGTGTTATTTCATAGTTTTGATGTCTTCACTATTATTCTACAATGTAGAAAATATTAAAAATAAAGAAAAACCCTGGAATGAGTAGGTGTCCACATTTTTGACTGGTACTGTATATCTTTCTTTCCAATGGACACACGCAGGTGTTTGTAATCATGGCCGGCTATGGCACAATATCATTGGTCAATTTACAGATATCAACAATTTATTTAAAAAAGGCCTGAATGTATATCAAACAATCATAGATACAATTACAGAATACAGTGCCTTCAGAAAATATGAATACCCCTTGACTTATTCCACATTTTGTTGTTACACACAATACCCCATAATGACAAAGTGAAAACATGTATTAGACATTAGCTAATTGATGAAAACACAAATATGTAATTTACTTAAGTATTCACACCCCTGAGTCAATACATGTTAGAATCACTGTTGGCAGCGATTATAGCTGTGAGTCTTTAAGGGGTAAGTCTCTAAGAGCGTTGCACACCTGGATTGTTATTGTCCTGCTGAGAGGTGAATTTGTCTCCCAGTGTCTGTTGGAAAGCAGACTGAACCAGGTTTTCCTTTAGGATTGGATTTAATTGTCATTAGTTGTCAACGATCTACATAAAATACTCTAATGTCAAAGTAGAAGAAGAATTCTAACATTATTTTAAAATTAAGGAAAATAAAACATATATCTTGATTATTCAACCCTATGAGTCAATACATGTTAGAATGACCTTTGGCAACGATTACAGCTATGAGTCTTTCTGGGTAAGTCTCTAAGAGTTTTGCACACCTGGATTGTACAATATTTGCCCATTATTCTTTTTAAAATGATTCAAATTCTGTCATCAGTTGTTGATCATTGCTAGACAGCCAATTTCAAGTCTTGCCATATATTTTCAAGCAGATTTAACTGTAACTCTGACACTCAGGGACATTCAATGTCATCTTGGAAAGCAACTCCAGCGTATATTTGGCCTTGTTTTTAGTTAATTGTCCTGCTGAAAGGTGAATTTCTTTCCCAGTCTCTGTTGGAAAGCAGACTGAACCAAGTATTCCTCTAGGATTTTGCCTGTGCTTAGCTCTATTTCGTTTATTTTTTTATTTTTAACTTAAAGAATTCCCTTGCCGATGACAAGCATACCCATAACATGATGCAGCCACCACCATTCTTGAAAATATGAAGAGTGGTACTCAGTGATGTATTGGATTAGCCCTAAACATAATGCTTTGTATTCAGGACATAAAGTTAATTTCTTTGCCACCTTTTTTGCAGTTTTACTTTGGTGCCAAAACAGGATGCATGTTTTGGAATATTTTAATATTCTGTACAGGCTTCCTTCTTTTCACTCTGTAATTTAGGTTAGTATTGTGGAGGAACTACAATGTTGTTGATCCATCCTCAGTTTTCTCCTATCACAGCCATTAAACTCTGGACCTGTTTAAGTCACCATTGGCCTCATGGGAAATCCCTGAGCGTTTACCTTCCTGTCCGGCAACTGGGTTAGGAAGGATGCCTGTATCTTTGTGGTGACTGGGTGTAGTGATACCATCCAAAGTGTAATAACTTCATCATGCTTAAAGGGATATTCAATGTCTACTGCAAAAAACAAAGCAGAGCTCATGCCTTTTCATGCAACTTTTTTCAAATCATCATTAGTCGCATCATGCAGCCTTAGAATTAATTAGAAATCTAAACATATAGCCCAACATTTGTATCACAACTAAAGTTACATAACTCTAAATTAAGCATATAGGAGGACCTGTTTCTTTGTTAACCACTCAACACAGAATAGCTGCATGTGCTCACTCCCTCATCATTTTGGAGAAAATATCCTTTCTATTTTATTCAGCTATGTTCAATTGTATTAGTCATACTATAAAATAATGCCACGAAATTCTTAGCAAATCTTGTCTGCTAAATTAACAAGTGTAGCCCACAGCAATATGGCATAGCCAGATCAGGGCCTAACATAAGGACAACTCTGAGTATGCTATTCTGTTCTTCTGAAATAGACTACATTTTCTTCATATCAAGTTTGTTCAGACCTGTCTAAAATAGATCATGTATTTATTGTGATGGTGTAGGCTATATTACATGGATTTATTAGACTTTTTAAAATGTAGATGTTCCAAAGGTCTGCATCAGTGGCTTGTAGGCTATGCGTGGAAGGCAGGAGATGCTAAATGTGTTTGTTATTTACTGGTCAATTACTGTGAGACCGGCAGTTATTTGCTTGACAATCACCGGCTGACAAAATTTCATGACTGCAACAGCCCTAATTGGGCTTCTGAAGTTCCACTCTGCTGCGTTTGTTACCATGTGGGAGGTGGGAATTGACCAGTTGTAAAGTCGTAAATACCAGTTGGATGCATTATTTGATTTAAACTTGTGAGAAACACCGATTGGATAATGGCCAACAAGCTGTGTCAACCATAAACTACATGTACAGCCATCATGCTTGTAAACAAATTATAGAGTTAAAAAAACACAATAGATTGCTTTTAATAAATAATGTTTTGTTACATTGAACTGTCGACAATACTGTTAGAGGCCATTTCCTTAGTAGGTGACGTCAGAGGTCACCAACTGGGAGAAGTGAGTTCAATGTGTCAAATCGGAGGGCCTGTTGTCTGGACCTATGGCAGTCTCTATGGGGGTGCCACAGGGTTCAATTCTTGGGCCGACTCTTTTCTCCGTGTATATCAATGATGTCGCTCTTGCTGCTGGTAAATCTCAGATCCACCTCTACGCAGACGACACCATTTTGTATACATCTGGCCCTTCATTGGACACTGTGTTAACAAACCTCCAAACGAGCTTCAATGCCATACAACACTCCTTCAGTAGCCTCCAACTGCTCTTAAACACTAGTAAAACTAAATGCATGCTCTTCAATCGAACGCTGCTGGCACCCGCCCACCCGACTAGAATCACTACTCTCGACGGGTATGACCTAGAGTATGTGGACAACTACTGACCTAGAGTATGTGGACAACTACAAATACCTAGGTGTCTGGTTAGACTGTAAACTCTCCTTCCAGACTCACATTAAGAATCTCCAATCCAAAGTTAAATCTAGAATCGGCTTCCTATTTCGCAACAAAGCCTCCTTCACTCATGCTGCCAAACATGCCCTCGTAAAACTGACTATCCTACTGATCCTTGACTTCGGCGATGTCATTTACAAAATAGCCTCCAACACTCTACTCAGCAAATTGGATGTAGTCTATCACAGTGCCATCCGTTTTGTCTCCAAA